GTGTTTGCTTCTGTTTCCAACAGGTACTAGATCACTAGATCAGGGCTCCATGAAGGTAGATAAGTTGTTGATCTCATTATCAGAAAAGGGCATTTCTGGTAGCCTTTCCACTGTTGCTCAAATTCTTAGCTTAACGTTAATATTTGACTTACTGCATTCATACTGATTTTTGCTTACTACTTCTTATAGGAAGATAAGGGCACATTTCTGGCAGGGGATGCTAGTTATCTTTATATCCCTCTATCTTTGTGATCTAGCTACTGCTCAGTTCTAAAATGTCTGAATAAGTTCAGAAGTGTTGGCTAGAGGACTACAGTGTTCTCCCTTCCCTAATTGCATTCAGAGCTATAGGTGATAATCACTAAGGAGATGCTGCCAGGAGGATTACAATATATTCCTAAGAAGGTAGCCCTTTTCAGTTTCTTCACTCTCTAAAAAGAACTATTTCAGAAATTCTTGGATGAGGACAAATATCTTCTTTTTTTTTTGCCATTTATTCCAACTGTGACAGTTAAGAAGTAGCATGTAACATCAGAGAAGGATACACTGTCCTTAAAAATAAAATTGGGAAGAGTCAGAAAATAAATGTACCTTGTTAAACATAGATTAAAATCTTGTTATGAAGGGAACAAAATAGATGAGAGCCAGAGTGATCGCCCAAGTATTGCAAGACAGATAGTATGAACTGTTAGAAGCATTTCTATGTTAAGATGAAAATGCGGAAGACATAAAGGGACAAAATAAACAGACTAGCACTATAATGAGAGGCACTGTGATTAAACCTCATATCCATATTAGGAAAAGTGGGTAATACTAGTTGTCCAAAAAATTGAAGGCAGATAATTGACCATGTGGATTAGGTCTTGAGAAGCTGGCAATATGAGACCACTGGAGAAATGAATAAAGTAAATCAGTCAAGCCTGGAAGAATACTGCATTCAGGACGGATGTGAAGAGAGAGTTATTATTGTAAAGCATGACCACTGGGAAGGTATTATAGTTAGGTAAGCTTCAGGAATCAAGTGTCTGCCCTGGAGATAAAGATCTGAACATGGTAACTGAGGAAGCAGAAGTAGAGTCAGTCCAGCTCAAAGGACCTGAAAAGGGAATCTAAAAGGCCTGAGGATGTAATTTGATTGCACAAGTATGTACTTAACATATGTGAAGTCTGGTGTTTATTCTCTAGAACATCAAAAATACTAATGACACATAGAAGATAAAAGAAAAGGATATGACTGGAGATGTAGCTCATTTGGTAATATTCATCTAGCATGCATGAAGCCCTGGGTTCCATCACTAGCAATGCATAAAAACAAAATTGGATGTGGTGGCACAAACTTGTAAATCCTATCACTCAGGAAGTAGAGGCAAAAGGATCAAAAGGTCAAGATCATCCTTTGCTACAAGGTGACTTCAAATTCAGCCTTAATTATGTAAAGCCCTGTCTCAGAAATAAACGAGTAAAATAAAATTAAACAGAGAAAAGGATGTATCAAAAGTATGGAAAAAAATGGTATCCAAGAAAAGAGTCAAGGAACTGAGGAATCTGCAGTTTGTAAGTTAAAAAAAAATACCCATGAAAAGATATGCTATGGTATATGAGTTTAGAAAAAAAAAAAAGATTCAACTTAAAGACTTGAGGGCTTTCTACAGATAAGGGAAAACTGGAGTAATAGAATGAGAAAGAAATACAGCAGAGCCTCAAGGTGATTTCAAAAGTAAATGCAAAAGGTATGATCAATAGATGATAAAACTTCAGGATTCAATCATATCACAGAAAACATGGAAAGGATTTCAAAAGGGATGGGTGTATTATTATGGATTACAAGCAGGGCTGTTTCCCCTCACATAGGATAAAAACATTAATTAGATAGGTGGACAGAAAATAGAGTATTATGGTTGTTGGAAATGTTCTTTTATTTTCAATGACAAAATGGAAATATTATTATTCTTTGTACAAATACAACAAGTGTTCTAAATGTGAATCAATTCTCAGTGACGGCATTTAGAGTATGTCCTCTTCTGGGAGCTATGTGACAAATGCTAATTATTAGTCATACAGTATAGCTGCATAGGTAGCATAACACGAGTATGTAAATCTTAACAGACAAGTTTCAAGGAATATCCCAAAGCATTTAAAATTAACAAAAGGGCCTCTCTTTTTTGAGAAACCAGACCCATGCTTTGGAGTATATTTTAACTTCCTTCCAGACTGCCACAGTCCCTTAACCCTTGTGCTTAAAATCTATGTTAATAACATTACTGTAAAACAATCTTCTAAATCACCTTGTATAAACAGATAAATTTGATTCAGGAGCTAGAAAGAGTGGCCTTTACCTTTAATTCTAGTGCTTGGGAAATAGAAACAGGAGGATCAGTAGTTCATGGCAGCCTCAGCTACGGACAAATGTGAAATGTAAGGCCAGCCTGGACTATATCAAACCTGTGTCAAAACAAAGAAACAATGTGACTATATCATAGGATTCATATCATGGAATATGGCCATGCCTACATAAAGAGATGTGTTGTGGAGTACACAAGAATGTTCTCATTCACTCACCAAACATGAGGCCTGTATCTAATACCTGAGTCAGACAGCATCATCCACATCTATGCTAGTTATAAATCATTTTGGATGGCAATACATAGAAAGGGATGTTTCTAGTCAGTTTGGCTCCTAAACTCTCTCAGATCTGCCTGATAGAAATGACACTAAGGGAAACTAAGTATTTTTCCCATGTTGCTGGTGAATTGAAAGTTGGTGTCTAGAATAAATAAGCATACTGAGCACACACAAACACACAAAAATGTTCTCTATGCCTTCCCCCAATGAACCAATTAGTAATTCTCAAAAATAGGTACAAATATTTTGTGGGGCTTCATATAATTTGGATGCTCTCTTTAAAAAAAAAATAACAAACCAATATACCAGGTATGGTAGCATACAAGTATAACCACAACATTTGGAGGGTTAGAAGCTTAAAGCCATTCTAGATACACAGGGATTTAAAGTACAGCCTATGCTACATGAGACCCTGTCTAAATCCAGCACAAAACAAAAGAAGCAAAATTGTAATATGACTCAGTATGTTTCTGGCAATTTATTTAGAATGAGACCAGAAGGGACCTCAAGTTTTAAGATTCACCAGCTAAATACACTTCTGTTGATGACTAAATATTAGCAGTCAAGTGTGGGAAAGGAGAAAGACCAAACAATTAGACAAAAGAAAAACAAAAGACTGGGCTGAGGATGTAGCTCACTAGATAGAGTGCTTGCCTACAAGAAGAAAGCCCTGGGGTTGATCCCCAGCACTACATAAAGCAGGCATGTTATCCCACATCTGCAATCTGAGAACTTGTTAGTTGGATACTAGAAAATCATAAGTCTAAGTTCATCCTTGGCTACATATTCTGTTGGATGCCATCCTGAAAAAATGAGACACAGTCTCATAAAATTTTAAGAAGTCAGACTGGAGAGAGAGAGTTCAGCTGCTAATGCCTACGCTCACACCCAAACATCAAAAAACTTTAAAAAGACACTGCTTTCTTTAAGGAACACTGGAGACAAACCAAGAAAAGGACAAGAATAAAGTCCCAGAAAAATAGAAAATTGTGATATGGTGCTAATCAATTTATACTGCATATTATCATATTTATATTCTAGTGATCATCAATCACATTGCATCTACAGTACTTGACTAGAAGGACCAGGTTTTGAGAAACACCAATCCACTAACCTGTAGGCACTCAACAAGTGTTTATTGAAGGAAGGAACAAAAGAAGGAAATAATGAAAAATGCTCCTTTTTCTAATTCTTCATCAGGATCTGCTTCCCTTCCTTTGATGCTTTAGCACAAATGCATACTATTGCTGCCACTGGCTTGGACTTCCAAAGCAACACTTCATAGCAATCTGGTGATTAAGACTGTTTTCCCTGAACAGGATGAGTCCAAAGCTACTTACATCTAAAATTAATATATAAGCACATCTATGGTCTACTGAAAGGGGCATACATTAAAAATGGATAATTTGGACCCACCTTATTTATTCCCTTTACTGACTTTCTTCCTCTTTCTAAGGTAAGTTTTGCAGATGTGTCTCTGAAAGTGGCAATTTAATATACAAATACTGAAGAGGTCTCCAGGAAAATAGAGAAAAAGTTCATGTACCCCTTACTTGATTAAACATCCAAGCTAAGACCTCAGGACAAAGCGCAGGCAATGTAGCTTTAACAAGTCCACACACAAGGTACTCCCTGACCTGCCCTCAGCTCCTGCTTTATGAAGAGATTCCCTTTGGGTAATAAATACCCAACACTTTTATTCAAGTTCTGAAAAAAAAAAACATCAGGAGTATGTTGAGTCTTACAGCTCCTTTATTAAAAAAAAAATACCTTTTCCTAAAGGATTCTGCCTCCTTATTTTTTTTTACCTACTCAAATTTTCTAAGGAATGGTGATTTGGAGGAGAGCAGAACTACTACTACTTCAACAGTACAGACATCCATTCCTGGAATTCTCTTCAGAGAATGGGATGTGAAATCGGGGAGGCCAAGCAATCACCTCAAGAATTGCAAGTGAAGGTCTTAAATGGAAGAAAACAGGTCTGCAGCTTCCCATGGAAGCGATTAGTCCTCAGGAGAGTTACTGAAACCCTCAAACCACAGATTCTTGATTTTGTAAAATAGCAGATATGCTGCCCAACCACAAGACTGTTGAGAGGACAGAGGAACCTCACTTGATATGCTAAATGTAATTGCACAGCAAGAGCTAATTAATCATTAGTATTTAGTAGTAGGAGTCAAATTATTTTGTCTCCCTCCACCAGTGCATACCACCAAGCAAAGGGACCAACTCCCCTTCCCATCTAACAGGATCTGGGGCCCTGCCATAGGAACGTTCTCACACTCAGGAGAAAGACCCTGCCAAACACAAGAATATTGCAAGTCCCCTACCCTGGACATCCAAAGCTCCTTAACCTACTATAAAAAATCCAAACTGACCTGAGATGCCGCCTCCAATCACGACTACGTCGAACATGTGGCCTGCGATATTAGGCTTCTCCAGATTCGTCATGGTTTGGGTGAGATTCTCCGGAGACTTTGGTTTAAAAGGGGGGACCGCCCAGGGTGTAACAGACCCTTGTACCGCCCCTTGACTGGTGTCCAGGGGCGGAGCCGATCTTTCTACCCATACCCAGGGGGAGCCCAGCCCTGAGGGCGGAGCGGGCCCTTGTGCAGTGACAAGGGGATCGCTCAGAGGCGGAGCTGATCCTTGCTGAGATATCCAGGGAGAGCCCTGCTCACTAGGCTGGAATGGCCTTACTATAGGAACTGAAGGGGCGTGGCAAGGAGGTCTTTGCATCAAACCTCGGGGGTTATACAGTGCGGAAGTTTGTGACCAAGGTACTGAGCTATCGAACATCAGAGGTCTTTGTACTGGTAGCCGGGAGGGGAAAATATGTGCTGGTGATGAGGTGGATAACCAAGCAGAGACGGACATAGAGTGCCTGGGGAAGTCTTCTGCTGACACCACTGGGGTATTTTCTGTAGTTTCAAGTAGTGGTAACGAAGGCAGAGACAAGTTACTTTGTAAAGGTTGTTCTAATGGCAATCCCCAGGGGTAGCTAGACATTGGAGGTAGAGTGGGCTCATCTGCCGACCCCCGGGGAGTGCTGATCACTGAGGCAGGGATAGACCCTACTTCTGACTCTACAGAAGTGCTAATTATAGAAGCCACCGAAGACATTTGCCCAGAAGTCACCAAGGACCTTTGCCCAAAAGGTCGGGATGATTCCGGGAGTGGGATGGATTGTGGTATAGATAAGTGCTGGGAGATGGGACTAAGAATGGAGGAATCCGATGCAGGTATGGGGGCCTGAATGTTCTGACTGTGGACGTTTAAGTCCCAGGAACAAGACTTTGAGGTGGGATCACTCCGCTTGCCAGAATCATCTTTGAGCTCAGGGAGATTGGTGGAATTTAAAGAATCAACTAGCTCCTGAACGGACTGGCTCATCTGAGCCGAAGTTAAGGGTTGGGAGGCGGTTTGCCACTGAGAATGGGAGGACTCACTAGAGCTACTGGAGGTGCTGCCTAGGCGGGACATCCCCACAGGGGTCTGGAAAGGGGCAATCCGGGTTTCTGGGGCCCATTCCACCTCACGCCCCCTGCTGCCGCGGCCACGCGAGCCGCCGCTTATGGGGAAGGCGGCCTTATTTTCTGACATAATTCTCACAGTGGCGAGACAAGGCGAGTGGCTAGCCTGAACCCTCCCCTCAACAGCGCTAGGCTTTCAGGGCCCAGCCAATTACCAGTCCGAGGCCCAACCCAAGCGCCCGGCCCACTTGGAGGCGGGGAGATGAGGCGTCGGCGCAGCGCGGCTCCGCCTTCCCGCCAATGGGCGGTCCTTGTTCAGGGCCCTCAGGGGCCGGACGATACCACCGCGAACAGGAGAGGGGGGAACGGCGTCTGTGAGCGAGTCCGCGCGCAGCGGTGCAGGTTATTAACCTGCCGCTTTCATGGAATCCTTTGAACTCAAGTTTTCTGAGTCGAGGCTGGCTCAAGAGAGCATAAATGTCAAGGAGAAAAGCCCCGAACAGCGAAGGGACTGAACTCTGCCTAGCTCAGTTTGGTTTAGCCCAACGGTGACGTCACGAGGCGGGGCTTTCCGCGCAGCAGCGCACCTTTCGTGGTTCGGGTGAGGCGGGGAGAGGGGGAGGGGATGCCGGCTAGTTTCGGAGATGTTGTTTTCCCTGACGTGTTTTCGATCGAACATACTTTACTAGAGTCTAAACAAGTATGCAAGATATGTAAACAAGTATATAGATTAGTTTGACTTCAAACTTGAGGTGACCCTCCCAAGTGCTAGAGTAAGTAATACATCTCCCTTTAGGTGGAGATGCCATTGTTTTCTCCATCCCATGTCTCCTCTAAGGTCAATCCAGTGGAACAGATCAGGGACCTGATTGGGGGACCACTCCCAGAAAAGTGGTTTCATCTTAAGATAATGTACTTTTCATTGCCCAAATTACTGCCTGCTAATGCAGTCCTTTTGAGCCAACACAAATACAGGATTCCAAATCCATTAGGTTGACCTGCCTTTCTGAATTCTGACTATTCAAATTATAACTATTTTTATTTTATTATCTATGGCCGGGACAAACATTGTTTTATAGCTAAGAGGTTGGGCAGTTAGTCCCATATAGCAGAAATGGTTGAATTTTTAAGGACTATTAGTCATGTCATTAATCTAATGTACTATGTCCTTTAGCATGATGCAGTTAAGTGCATACTCTTGCTTGCATATTGTTCTTACAAAAATTAGCATCAGTTCAGTCACCAGAGAACAACAGAAAAAATTTTAACTCTTCATATAACAACTGGCCTAGCTTCATACAGTAATCCCAGGATGTGGGAGGCTAAGATATGAGCATTGTAAATTCTAGGTCAGCCTGGGCTATATAGTAAGTCCCAGACCAGTCTAGAATATATACTCTGTTTCCAAAAACAAGAACTGGAATATAGCTCCCCATTAAATCAAGGGTAGGCTTAAAAAAAAAAAAAAAACCTTGATATTTTGAGACTTGAAAATATCTAAACAGCAGCTGTATATTAGCAGACATTGTTGATTTATTAAGCTTTCTAGCTGTGGCAATGGTAGTGCAGTTAGGACAGGGAAGGATGTCCCTATTCTCAGGAGATGAAGGTTGAAGTTCTTTGAGCATATATTGTTATAGATATTAAACAGAATGCTCTTTTAACTGTTGTATAGGTTTAAAATTTTTCAGTGTCACATGTTGGGGGAAACAGTTTAGAGGAAGGAATATTTTGAATTAAAAATTATTTTCTAATATGATACTAATTATGATTAAAAATAAATGATTCATACAAGCAGAAAGAAAGTGATAGAGAGCAAAAGAGGAGAAAAGAAAAGAAAGACCACTTTACCTCTCTTTCTGAACAGAGCCTGAGGATGTACCCAGCTTTAAAAATGGAACCGGAGGGATTGGAGAGATGGCCAACAGTTAAGAGCACTGGATAGTCTTCCAGAAGAGCTAGGTTCAATTCCTAGTACACACACTGCAGCTTACTCCAATTCCAAAGGATCACACACACACACACACACACACACACACACACACACGAAAAACTAAAAATGGACTTGCCATCCAATGGACTGTGGAATGTGAAAATGGCCATCACACAGCGATCTGGAAAGTAAATAGACCAAATACCATTGAGTATGATTTTAAAACACAGTGAATTTCAAATGAGAAATACAATGAAAACACAGGAAGAAAGTAATAATATAATATATAAAATTATCCTGATCTAAGTCAGGCACGAGAAGGTGAAGTAAGCAAATAGGGAGTTCAAGACCAGCCTGGGCTATATAAGAAATATTTTAAAAAACAAACAAAAATCTAAGTGGGGCCTAGTGGCACAGATCTTTAATCCCACTATTTGGGAGTCTGGAACAAAATGATTGTTACTTCAGGCCTTCCTGGGCTACAGAATAATATCAAGACAACTTAGTGAGCCTCTGTTTCAAGATAAAAATAAAAGGCCTGAGAACATATGTCAGTGGTAAAGTATTTGCCTAGCATTATGAAGTTCTAGGTTTAATACTCAGTACCTAACACACACAGAGAGAGAGGGAGAGAGAGAGAGAATGGAAGGAAGGGCAGGAGAGAGGAAAGGAGAAAAAAAAGAAAAGTGATGGCATACAGGATACACTGCCTCAAAATATACACCTTTGACATTTCATTTGAGAAAGCAAGAAGGCCCTGGTTACCTTCTTCTTGCCCAGTGTTTCTCAACCTACCAAATGCTGCAAACCTTTAATCAAGTTCCTCATGTTGTGGGGACTCACGACCACAAAATTATTTTCACTGCTACTTCATAACTGTAATTTTTCTGCTGTTATGAATCATAATGTAAATATCTGATATGCAGGGTGTCTGATATGTGACCACTCTGAAAGGGTTGTTTGACCCCAAGAGGTCATGACCCACAGGTTGAGACCACTGCTTTATTCCTTCTCACTTGATATAGGTTTTAAAAACTGCCTTTGACCATCTCTGGGGAACCTGGAGAGATGACTGAGCAGTTAAAATCACCTTCCACTATCCAGAGGATATGGGTTGAGTTCCCAGAACCCACATCAGTGGGCTCACAAAGGTTTAGTCTGTAACTTCAGTTCCAGGAGATCTGATACCTTCTTCTGTCTTCTGTATGCATCTACACATATGGTGTATGCTCTTGCAGACACAAATGTACACATAAACAAAAACAAAATAAACCTTTTTAAAAAGAACATATTTTAAAAAGAGGTGCCCTCTTATCTTAAGCCTAACATGTGAGAGGCTAAGATAGGAAGATCAAGACTTGAAGGCCAACCTGGACTACATAGTAAGATCTACCTAGGAGCAAATAATTTTTCTCCCTTCCTCGTAGCTGAAAATGACTATAATCTGATCAATAAACATGATTAAAATTTAGGTATGGGATTTCTATTCATGTATAAGTCTCATGAAGTTTTCTTAAATGGAAGGATTATCCTGTCTTCCTCCCCTCTCTGCTGCCTGGAATGCAGAAATAAAGGACAGATTAAAGCTCCCCTTTTTGGTTAAGGTATATAAGAATGGTGAAAAATAAACTTGTGACATTTCAGTATGCCCTCCTGACATTTATTCTGTCTCTGTCTTTTCTTTATCATCTATAGCTAGCCTTTCCCTCATACACACACTCCCACTCAGGTACAAATTCCTTTCCCTCATCCACACACCCCCACTCAGGTATGAACTTGGGGCCACTCTGCTGATTTCAATTGCAGCCCCACAAAGAAAGCTTCTGACAACCAATTGGTGTTCATTTAACTAGAGAAAAACTGTTTCTCTAGTCCTTAGCATTCTTTAGCTGCTTGTAGTTCATCTAGGTTTGAGGCCCTGTGAACTTTCCCCTAACTACATTCATATGTGTAACCATCGTAGTCCCTAGCTACATTCTATATATTGCTCCTTATACCCACAGGGGGAAAAATGTAATCCTCACCCCTCATCAAAGAAACTTTTCTTTGCAACAGACAGAGACAATTACAGAAAACCACAACCAATCAAAACATAGCTGTGGAACCCAGTACTAACTGAGGCAACTCCTGCACGTCAAGCTCAGGGATTATTGCAGATGAACTAGCAGGAAGATTGTAAGAGCCAAAGGAACTGGGAGTCTTTAGTGAGATTCTGTCTCCTAGGAATGTCAGAAACTAATATACTTCTTTTGTGCTTTATTCTTTTATAAAGTTCAAATTTTGCCTTAAACTTAATACCCTCCAGTCTCAGCTTCCTGAGAGTTAGAATTTTAGGCATGTACCACCATACCTGTTTCATATACTTCTTTAGATTGATGTGGAAAAATAAATATGTGTCAGTTGTTTCC